TGTGGAGTTTTAATTCCTACAGGAATTCAACAAGTGCAGATCAGATGCAGCTCTGTCATGCAGTTTTATTCCAGAAAAAATATATAACAATTTAATTTCTGCTTGCCATGCAGCTATTAACAGCACAGAGATTCTAGCTATCTGGACAGAAATAACTAGAATAATTGAAGATAATGGTTTTGCGTCTACCAGTTCCATTTTGATGAGGCTTCTAAAAGATGTTGGTAAAACAAAAACATGAGAAATAGATCTTTAACTTCCTAACAGTTGCAAAAATATTCACTGAACAATTTTAGAACCCAAATACTTTCCTAGCTGTGAAAGTGTGGCTCTGTAAAGCACTGGATATTTTTTGCATGATGTAAATTGCCTATCTGATCAGACTGAGAGATGGTAGAATTCTAAAGTTAGATGGAGTAAAAAAGATGGAATTCATGTGTTGTATTCTGCAACAAATGAATTTGTCGGAAGACGATCACTATAATTCTGGACTCAGGCCTTTTAGCAATATAGTAGTAATTATGAGTGATAGATGAAACGGATGATGGATGCAAGAATCTATTAATTATGATAGCTCAATATTATAATTCAAATTATTGCTAATTGTGCATAATGTGTTCCAGATAAACCATTGCATTGGAATGAATCTTGATAAAATTGATTTGAACTTTTTTTTTTAATAAAAGGGTTGGATTTCCTCTCAGGAAAAAAGTGGAAACTCCAAGAAGCATAATCAGTACTTAACTGCCAAACTGAAAGATACTGATAGTCAGACCCTGTAACAGACCAGAGATGCACTGTGTGTGTGTGGGGGGGGGGGTGTCAATGTAATCTTGTCATTACTCATGTATAGGGTCACCAACCTCCAGGTGGTAGTTAGAGACCTCCCGCTATTACAATTGACCAAGATCAGTTCCCCTGGAGAAAATTGTTTTGGAGGGTGTACTCTATGGCATTATACCCTGCTGAGGTCCCTCCCCTCCCCAAACCCCACCCTTGCTAAGCTCCACCCCCAAATCTCCAGGTATTTCCCAACCCAGAGTTGGCAACCCTACTCATTGATAAAGGAAATGCACTTTGCCCTTGCTCAGAAGCAGCCATTACCCACTTTTTTCTTCAAGTTTCAGGGCAGTGAAAACAGACTCTGGGATTAACCTCAGGAGTGCCTGAATTAAGATTTGCCCAGGGCTTAATCTGAGCTGGGATTTACCAGGACTCAGTGGTGGATCCTGTTTTTAAGGCAAAGGCACAAGCCCAGAATATGTGAAGTTAAGATACCGCCTTGGAACATGCACAGAGTGCCTTTCCCTTTCCACTAGAGGATGGTTCATACACACACACACACACACAGAGAGAGAGAGACAGAGAGAGACAGAGAGAGAGATCAGCTGATTTCTCTACATTTGATTTATTAATATATACTGTGTGAGAGCTACTGAAATTATGTTTGAGAGTGTATGAAAGTTCCAGGTGTCTTATGGCCCATTCACACATGCAAATTATAACCATGAAATGCTGAACATATATATGTGAACCATCCCAAAGGAACAGTTCACAACATGGGTACCATTAAGGGAGAAAGACTCTAGCTGAGCGGTTTGCATGACATCCAGTTAGGCTTACAGCCCAGCACCTGCCTTTTGGAGAATTTAGAAATTTAATCCTGAAAAACAAACCACTGCCTCTGCCTTGAATAAAGTTCTCACCACAGGCAGTTATAGCAGGAAGCCTTAAATCTTCTTTTGGACAATGCACTCCTTTTGCTCTCACTGGAGATGGGATATCTAGAGCATCAGAGCGGTCCACAATGACCTAGGCAAAGCCAGGCTGAGTAACGGGGGTGGGAATGAGGAGAGGCAGAGAGTGGCAGGCAGTTCCTAATACCTTAGGGAAGGACAGGATCATTCTACAACAGGATTTGAAACTGATCAACTCTCTAGCCCAGCCATCCAGAGCAGCCGGCTAAGTCTCTGTGGCTGTCAGCTTAACTCTGCCGCTGGTTCCTGTGGGGTAGGGGAGTTAAATAGGACACAGACTGAGAGACGAGCAAGCCTGTTTGCTGGGAGTCAAGGAGGCAGAGAGAGAGAGAGGGAAGAAGGTGGAATTGGCTAGAGACCAGGTGGGAAGCAGAGTCTTGCCCGGTAAGTGTTCCTGCGTCGCTCTGAAGAAGAGGAGAGGAAAGAATGCTCTTTTCAAGGCTGCTTTGGGGACTGGCAAAGAGCTGTGGGGTGGAAGCCCTGAGCTGTGGCAGGCACAAGGGGGTGAGAAGCTTTTAGTGCCAGGAGAGATTCCGGCTCAGTTTTATTTGGGGAAGATGGGGTGTGTTGTGTGTTTGTGTGTGTGGAGGGGTGATCTTTTGTCAACGTTCTTAATATCTTTCACCTCAGCATCCTCCTGTGAGATTATCTCTCAACAGCTTTCGCAGACCACACCAAATCCTCTCGCCCTCTGTGCTGTGTGAATTTAAGAGCCTTTGGGAGGATTTGATTGCCCATCAAAATAAATGAATGAGGGGAGGTAAGAACAGGAGGAGGAGGGGAAAGTGACGGACATGGACCGAGCTTCGGGCATATTATACAAATCTAAAAATAAAGCCAAAAGGAAGACATAACATCTTCCAGGAGCAGGCGCGGGAGGGATGGGGAAGGAGGGGGTGAGTGGGAGAAGTCCGAGTCTAGTGGGAATTCTTGCCGGGCTAAGCTAATGGTGGGTGGGTTGCAAAACTACCCTGCTTGAACCTAAAACAACAGAAGGAGGAGCTGTGAACGGTGCTTCTAAGAAACAGTGGCCCCTCCCTCCCATTCCTTCCCTGCTTTTGGCAGCTGAAGGGCAGGGAGAGAACCTGTTGTCATGGTGGCTTATCAGCAGAGGACCGCTGATCATCTTGGGGGGGGGGGTCTGATTTAAATGCTCACTCCCCTCCCTCTTTTATTCAAATATAATTCCCCCCCCCCACATCTTGCTTTTCGTTTCTAGGCTTTTGAGCTGCTGCACAATTAAGATCCCCATAGCCCCATGTTGGAGATGGGCATCCCTGTAATGGGCATCATACCCCTGTGGACACCCGAAGGGATGAGAGGGGAAGGAAGCTTGGCAGCACAAGCAACCCAAGTCTGTTCCTTGGGGCACATTGGTTCACCTCTTATTATTTTCCCCCAGGGGCTTTACAGCACTGCTTTCAGTGTATCTCACCCCTCCTGCAAGCCATGCAGTGCTGATGTGGCATCACAGCTGACCAAAGGAAATCAGCAGGTCAAGTGACACAGTCTGGGCTCAGAACTTGGAACTTGTATTGAATGCTGGAGTGCTCTGAATGCCTTGGAAATGTGCAGGGCTGCTTCAAACATGTATATATCGCTGGCTTTCCCTCCACTTGATTACTGTATCCTTGGTGATGGGCAGCTGATTGTGTGAACTGACTCCATGAAAAGCATTTATTCCAAAGTGACATTCGACTCCCTTCCTTTGCTGTTCGATCAGTTCATACGTGTGAGTCGTCATTTATATTCTGAATCATCAATTGATGAACATGCGAGTGTGAATTCGGGTGCCTCTGAGCACCAGAATGGCTCCTTCTTCCCAGTGATTCCCTGGGAGCACCAGGGATTAAACAGCAGGGCAACCAACTCAGAAGGGTTAGCTTCCAGGCTGGCTTAAGCCTGTCTGATGTTTCAAATTAACTGGTGGGTGGCTGTCTGAACAGAAAAGGGGCACCTAAGATCCTGTACAACATAGTATCTGACAAAGAAGGTACAACTCCTAAAGACGCTGCTGTGTAATCATGGCTTGTGAGGCCTGGGATCAAGGCAGCATTTTTAGTGAGAAAAGAAGGGCTGGCTTTGGATGGCTTTAGCCTCGGTGGCAATCAATTTCTGATAACCAGTCCTGTGTATAACACACCAGTCCGGAAGTGGCAAATGACCGGTTGAGCAAACTCCAGAGGACAACGAAAAACAGAAGGGCTTGGCATGATGTGGTCGATGGGGTTGTGAAGAGTCGGACTCGACTGTGTGACTGAACAACTAGCTCAAAAATCAAATAAATAGGAATACAGAAAATTCAAATGTTTCCTCTAAGGCCTCCCCCCACACCCCGGTTTTTGGTGCTTTCCACTGTGCAGGCAGGTGATTGGGCAAAAGAAAAAAATTATGCCAACACTCTTCCAGCTTACAATGTCAGAGAGTAAAGTGCAGCTTCCCTTCCCTAAGTGCACATTTGTTTCTCATTAGCTGTACATGGTATGCCCATCTTCCCTCAAGGCTGCATCTGTATTTTCTCCATGCTTAAAACTAAAATATTTTGGATCTGGGAAAATGCAACACTTCAGGTAGAAAAATCACTGTTATTGCAGTTGCTGTGAGGAACATGGCTCCAGGGAATGTCATGGACACATATGGGTTATTGTTTGTGGTGTGTTCATTGATCAGCAGTACCACTTGAACCCCACCCATGGACCCACAATGCCGATCTTTGTTTAGTTTATGTATTTAGGCTGTGAAATCTCCTGCTTGGTAATCTGGGCTCCCTGCTTAATATTTGGTTATGTCATGTCGGTGAGTTGGCAGGGCTGGTCTTAGCATTGCTGCTGGTCCCTCCAGCCAACTCCATGATCTGCCTGACTCTATCTGGTTGTCCACCACCACTACCTACTGGGAAACATTTCAAAAAAGGCTTCCTAGAACAACTGGTGTCACCATTCTAGGAAATCTGCATGTGGTACACACAACTAACATGAAGGCATTCCTCCCCCCTTGCAAATGTTGTGTTTGGGCAGGTTTGTTTGTTTTTTACTTTTTAAACACGCCTCACCTCTCCTGCTAGTAAGATGCCTCCCTGCATTAGGCCAGCTAACTTCACTGAAGTATAATTTTATTAGAGAGTCAACTGCCATTCTTTCCTATGTTTTTGTCTTCCAGATTAACCAGACTGTTCTGCCTGCAACAGTGTGCGCCAGCCTGGCTGGCGGGCACGAGACACCGTGGGGAAAAACAGTGACCATCATGTTGTCTCTGAGTGGAGGCTATTGGTGGAGAAATACACTTTCTGCGAGATGGAGAGAAGCTAGCCGTAAGTACTGCTCACCTGAAAGATTATTTATTATATAAGCAGTCAGTCTCTGCAACCTAAATAACGGTAAAGAAATCAAAATGCTTCCATTTTAATAGTGAGGATTTCACCCTAGCTTTCAAATTTGGGGATATGCAATAAGGGATAAGAGATGTAGTGACAGAGGGAAAAGATACAGTGTTTAGTAGCAAAACAAAGTCAGTCTCTGCAACCTAAATAATGGTAAAGAAATCAAAATGTTTCCATTTTAATAGTGAGGATTCCACCCTAGCTTTCAAATTTGGGGATATGCAATAAGGGATAAGAGATGTAGTGACAGAGAGAAAAGATACAGTGTTTAGTAGCAATACAATGATTAATATGTATTCAAGGGTTCTTGTTCCAATGGGTTGGAAGTGGGAAATGACCAGACATCTTGGTGGTCAATCAACATTTTAAAAAAATATATACATTTGCATGATGACACTGGAAAATGCGTACTGCAGACTGGTGCAAAGATTAATTCTGCCCTCATCAAAAAATTCCACACCCACTACTTTGTAGAGCAGGAAAGGCCACATGAAAGCCCTGGTGCTATGTTAAAGATGATCAATGCCAATAATAGAACAATGTTTGAGTCCAGTGGAAACTTTAAGACCAACAAAGCTTAATTCGGGGTATAAGCCTTCATGTGCATGCACACTTCTTCAGTACATCCCAAAGACCACATCTGTTGATCAATCAGTGCCATGTGTTCACCAGACCATTCAATAGTCACATTTTTGAAGACTGTAATTCAAATTAGAACTGGTCCTCTACTGTGCTGTACACAGGGCTGGCCCGAGGTATTTTCGCGCCCTAGGCGGGGCTACCTTGTGGTGCCCCCCCAGGTGAGCTTGTCCAGGGGGTCCCGGCACAGTTCCTCGGCCCCCGCCGAGCAGAGGCGCCGCAAGAGCCTGGCCGGGTGCCCCAAAGTGGCCAGGTAAGGGAGGGGGTGCGGGTGGAGAGGCTGCAAGACTCACCAGTGCTCACTGCCCGGTGCACCCGCGCCCTCTCAGCTTTGACAGTGGGGACGAGCAGCCCTCCTTGGCGGGTGGCAGCAGCAGCACAATCAGCACTGTCTGGCCCAGCCCGGCAGCCAATTCGGGTGCCCCGCGCCCTCCCACCCAGCCCTGGAACCGAGAGGAGGAGGGGGAGCGCACGGCCAGGCACACTGGCCAAGGCGAGGATGACGTGGTGGGGCTCACTCACGCGGGGAGTTCCAGCGGGCAGGCAAATGGTAGCCCCTCCCCGAAGGGAGACAGACAGGCCAGTCCTCCCTCCCTCCTTCGGCGACTGAGCCCTGCTGCCCGGACCCAAGAGCAGCTGCGGCATCTGGTCAGAGGCTGCCCTTCTGCCCCAGAGCCTGCCAGCTGCCGACCCTAGGTGGGTGGGAAGGAGGGAGGGAGGGGGTGCTGCTGCTGCTGCGGTTGGGCCGGGAAGCGCCAGAAGGTGGGCAGCCTCCTCCGATGGCGCTTAGATGTGCCGCTCTCAGGGAGCTTCCGCCCAGTCCGCCCGCCCCCAAGGAGGGAGGGGGGAGAGCAGGCGAGCTGTGACGCTGCCTCCTGTACCCAGGCCGGGGGTCCCACTGCTGCTGCTGCTCCTGCTGGCGGTGGTGGCGGTGAGTCCCTTCGGCCTGGGGCTGGAGGGGAGGCACCATGGGTGCACCTCTTTCCAGGCAAGCCTGTAGCGGGACCCACTCCTCCACCCCTGCGGCTCCCGGGATTCACTCTGGGGCAGGGGGGCTTTTGGCAGTGGGACCCGCTCCTCCACCCCTGTGGCGCCCGGGACTCACTCTGGGGCAGGGGGGGGCTTTTGGCGGTGGTGAGGGCCCCCCCGATCCAGGGCTCGCGCTCTAGGCGAACACCTAATTCGCCTAGCAGGTGAGCCGGCCCTGGCTGAACATTTATGATAGTCACAAGTGTTAAAAATGCCCAAGGGGCTAACATCCACATGATATCAACTGTGGAAACCATCTATGTTAAATTAAGGACTGAATCCCTGAAGCTATTGTTTTTGGTGATTCTGGCAGTGTGAAATTGAAGAGGTTGTGATGTTAAAGAATTGTTAAGTAATCAGGCATAGTGGTGGAACAAGAGCACGAAGTTAAAATGGATGCATACCTGCACTCTTCTGTCCCATTTACAGCTTCTAAATGAATTTATTTTACTTGCTTCTCAATGAAGCCGAATCCCTGCTGGAGCATCAGCTCACTCTTCTAAAAATGCAGAGGCTCCCTAGCAGGAGCAGTAGAAATAAAGGGAGGGTAAATGTACTTCAATGAACCACCAGACAATCTCTGCAGTACATTATGAAAAGGGCCCTTTACATTAATGAGGATACATGCAGCTAAAGCTGAGTGGGGGGTATAGACTCTCACCAAAAAGTAAGACCAGGGGTCAGAATGCAAGATGCCAATGGAATCTGCTGAGTGAACTCTTTCCTTTTGCCCAGGAGCCTCGCCTTTGTTATATGCCCTTGCCTCCTAGATTGCTGTTATCAATTATTTACTCTAAATGCCACTGAGCCCCAGACTAATCTTATATTCTTGGATCATCTTACTAGAGTTCTGAACACCCCCACAAAGTAACGTTATCTTTTCTTGACATAAGAGCATACAGTATGCTGAATATTTCACTTAGACTATTGTTTAGCTTCTGCTATTCATTGGATGAAAACAACATTCTATCTAGCTGCCCCCTTGAGCAGCCACAAATAAAATGGCTTTTCAGATCATGTATCTGAAATCCCTACCAAACCACACTGTGGCCTTAGCATTGTTTTTGCACAATTGATAATATCGGAACTGATGTTTTCTGGTAACATAAGGAATGAAACTCTTTTGATCACCCTGTCACCTCTAGAGTCAGTGTAAATTAAATTCTGGGTACATCTTGCACCCATATTCCTGGAGGTCATGTTGACATTTAATCATTAATGGTGGTATCCTCGGACAGGGGCTAGCTGAGAAGAAGGTAGTAATGAAACACACAGAGAAAAGTGTCACCCGTATAACCTTTCCTGACATATTCTCACCTTTCCGCTAAATGTTATCTCATCATCACAGATATCACTGTATTATTAATATTGTACTTCTGTCAAGCATCCATAAAATCAGGATCACCTGAGTGACTCATGTCAGCTTTCCTTCACTCTTGTTCTTTCAAGCACCATCCTACATTCATGCCTTGAGTGGAATTAGATACCTCCAGCCAGACTGTCTGCTTTGGTGCCAAGATCTGTTTTCAGGGCACCAAACATCCACTGCTGATCCTGACCTGTGCTTGATATCAAGGCAAATAAGAGGTCTGAAAGTACAGACTTCTCTAATTTTGGGCCATGCTACCTGAGCCATAACTTATGTTAGGAGAGCAAGAGCACTAACGAGCATCTGTGCACAATGGAAGAGACAACTTGTCCTACAAATTAGATTCTATTCTGAACTTTAAATGACTTCACCGCCACCATTATCTCACAAATCTAATACCAAAACTCATTTGGAAACGTGAATCTGGAGACAAAGAACAGAAAATAACAGAGGAGCCAAAAGCAGGATTTACTGGAAGAAAAGGATGGCCACGTTAGGCAGTGATATTCAATCCCACATTCACATTCAGTGACTTTGGAATTTACTCCAATCTATTTATTTTTTTTAAACCCCCGGAGGGATATTTTTCTTTAGCAATAAACTACAAAACTACAAAGAAAATATTAGGGAGTGGACTACATCTAGGGATAAAGGATAGATAACCACACTAAACTAAAACCCCAAGAGGAGGAGATCTTATCCCTGTTAGTATAAGTGTTAATACTATAAGTGTTAATATCACAATATACTTGTAGAATTCTTGTTTGTCTCAGCTTCAATATTTATGTGTTAATGAGAGAACTTTCTGATCATCTTCTTATTCTTCGCTTCAGAGGCTATTTTATGAGTCCTTCTGCGTTTACTTCGGCTTTCCATCTCTAAAATCGTATACAACTCTGGCAGCACCTGCACCCGTTTCTGCAGCAGAGTCCTCTTCCGTTCCAGAGGTGGCAGAGTGACTAGATTTCGTTTCTTCCTCCTTGGGCTCTTCCTCCGTTCCCAGCTGACGCCACAAAAACTCTTTTGCTTTAAAAATGAAGTCTATCTTCTCTCTTTTATCATTGATATTAAAGATGACACCCTCCGGGATCGCCCACCTGTACAATATTCCATTGGTTTGAAGGAAAGAAATTAAATCCTTATAGTTTTCCCTCTTTTGTCGAATTTCAAATGGAATGTTTTTTAAGGTCTTGATGATTACATTTCCCATTTTCAGTGGAGTTGCTGATGTCACTTTTAAGATAGCATCTCTGGTCTGTCTTCTTGAGAATCTGACCACAATTTCTCCAGGAAGGCTATTTTTTTTAATATAATTGGAGTATGCCCTATAGACTAACTCCATTTCTTTTACTAACTCATCCGCTGTTAAGCCTATTACTGGAGCGATGATCTTGCTAAGCAGCTTCCTCAGGTCCTCCTTCTCTGCTTCAGGAACTCCCTGGAACCTGAGAATCAGGTTAGCTTTTTCCATCTGTAATTGCAACAAATGATTTTCTTGGAAGTTCTGCTTCATTTCCATTTCTCCCATTCTTTTCTTCAATTTCTTACTTGTGGTGTCTATCTCTTTAATTTGCTCAGTTTCCTGCTCCACTTTCTTCTCCGTTTCATTCAGCTGGAGCTGTTGAGCTGCAAAGTTCTTATTCATCACGGTCAATTGCTGGTTAATACCATCGAGTTGCTCCATCACCGGCTTAAGCATATCCGCCAGCAGTTTAATGACGTCTGCTCCCTCTTTCGGTTTTGGACTCTGACTGCCCGGTGGTTTCGTTTTCAACTTTGTCTGCTGGGCCGTCATTTTCTCCGATTTGTTTACAGTTTCTAACGCTTCTTCCCGGCTCAAAAAATTTGCCCCACGATGACGATAATCAAGTAAGTCTCTCAAAACACACTCGTTGTGTTTCCTCCCCTCTCCCCCTTCGTATCGCTTATCAGTTCATTCGCATAAGAGGCGTCCCTCTTAGCGATCTCTTTTATCACTGGGGGGGGGAATCCGCTTTTACAATAATTCGGTTTATTTTGAACTCACGTTCATTGTCGATCAGTTTCTCTGACCTCGCTCATTCTAAACACCATTCTACTCGATCTCCGGCACTTGTCCCAGTCAAATCAGCTAGTGCCTGAAGGCCACACAGCAACTGGACCATCAGGGCAGAGGGGAGCCTTGATTCTCCAGCATTATGCCATCAAAGAGGCTACCCCTCAAAAGCCCTCTGGCCTGGAGCCTATCGCAAAGGCTCCATGGGGGTGTCACTTGAGGTGGCACCCCTCCAAGCAGCTGGTGTGCGGATCGCTCTCCCGTGGTTTGGGGAGAGCATCCACCATCGCTGCTCCAAAAATCGGAAGCCTACTCCAATCTAATTTTGTGTGCTTAGAAGGTGAAGTCAGATTGAAACTCATTTCCCCCCCAGCTGAGATCAACTAATGTTTCTTTCATGATTGTGATCTTTTCTTGTTTGCCTTTTAATTAAGATCAAGTGAAATCACAGAATCCCAAGAAAGAACATTCCATTCTGGAGAACTCATGAAAGGACATTCTTTCTGGAGGCCTAGGAATTTCAAAACTCTTGCCTATTGTAGTCTATCTTCCCAGGCTTTATTTGTAGATTTTCAAGAAACAATGCTACATTTAATATCAGACTACCTTATCACCTCTTTTGGCCTTCATCTATAGTGTTATTTGGTATATGTTTTTACATCCATTGTTATGTTTGAATAGATGTATTTAGTTTCATTGTTGATGTTTAGGGCTCTGTCCCATTAGGGAGACCATCATCTGTTTCTGGGTGGAATAGACCCCTCTGTACTGAAAGGGAAGAACAACACAGTAGAGAAAGAAATGAAAGATGGAGGAGAAAGTAGAACAGGGTGTGCAAGAAGGCGAGAAGAACAAAACCTTGTGTTAGGAGTCCTGCTTTGTATTGTCTCCTTGCCTTTATCAGGTTGCAACACCCATGCACCCGTGCCCAGGCTAGCCTGATCTCGTCAGATCTCGAAAGCTAAGTAGGGTCGGCCTTGGCTAGTATTTGGAAGGGCGACCTCCAAGGAATACCAGGGTCATGATGCAGGAGCAGGCAATGGCAAAACCACCTCTGAAACCTCTCTTGCCTAAAAAATAAGTCTAGCTCACCATCTAATGCTAAATGCTTTAGCAATAATGCTAAAAGAGCTAGAACTTCTGGCTGCCAGATAATCTTAGGATCTCCTGGCTATATTACACACAAGACCATATGATAATTATTAATGATTACCCATGCATCAGGGACCTGTGGGCACGGACTGTATTTTAGAAATCTAAATGCTAAGCAAAACATACATCCAAATAGAGCAGCTGGACTCCTCTTTCACAGGAAATCACACTGCATAGATAATTTGTTCTTTAATGTTTACTAAATGTATCTAATTAAACTTTTCTGTATGGAAACTGATTATTAAGAAGGAACTGTCTATTCTTGCTTCCAATCCCATAATGCTTTGCTTCATCATGCCTCTGACAGTAAAGCACTCTGGCATCAAGTAGCAAAGCCCTCTGGGATATGCTGACCTTTCTTGTCAACGACACTATAAGGATGTTTATTCCTTTATTCCTTAGCCCAAAAGCTGATGAAAGGGTGAAACAAAACTTGCACTGTTGAGAAACCTTCTGGAAGTACCAGGATATATCTACAAGGATTTCACTTCATTACAAAGAAGATCAGTTTAGTCCTATTATACCTTTGGGGGGTATTTAAAAGAATTAGCACCTTTGCCAGTGAGGTGAACTATAAATCTAGAACTGAAAGTGTGGGAGGCTAATTTCCTGCCTATACAGAAACATAACCTACTGTGCTCAACGCCCTAAAAGCCAGGAGGTCAGTTTTTCTCACTGGATACTGCTGTGGGGGGGACGACTCCAAATCCTGCTACAATGTAAGACAGTACTCATATATGAATCCACTGGTTTAATCTGTGTTTCCTTTCTCTCCTGTAGTGCTTGCCTGTTGGCTTTCATTCTGTGCAGCAGAGTCTCTCACTGTTTGTCCCTCCTCCTGCAAGTGCAACAGTGGTACTCTGGAAGTGGACTGTAGTGGTTTGGGACTTTCATCCATCCCTGTAGACATTCCTACAAACACCAGGACCTTCCTTTTCCTCAACAACGAACTAAGCACTTTGCCAGGACAAGCTTTCTCCAATCTTTCTGCTCTCCAGAGACTGGATCTTTCAAACAACTTCTTAGACCAACTTCCCGAAAATGCTTTCAGAGACTTAGTGAACCTCACTGAGCTACAGTTGAGGAACAATAGCATCAGGAGCTTGGACAAAGACCTTCTCCAAAACACCGCTCTTCTGCGTCAGCTGGACTTGTCAATCAATGGCATTGCTCAAATCCCTTCTGGCATCTTCGATGATCTATCCTCTCTTCGCTGGCTCTCCCTCAGGTCAAACCGCTTGCAAAATTTGGACAGGGTGACCTTTGAGCCATTAGTTAGCTTGCAGCAGTTGCAAGTGGGAGACAACCCCTGGGAATGTGACTGCAACCTGAGAGATTTCAAATACTGGATGGAATGGTTCTCTTATCGAGGTGGGTACCTAAGGGAGCGGGCCCATATCTCCCTACCAAAGGTTATTCATTGCTAACTTTTGCAGGCTCAGGAGGGCTAAAAGAAGCAGCTAGAAAAGGTGGACGGATCAGGATGACCTAAATTCTAATTCTTGTACATAATTCTATAATTCTAATTCTCAGTTATAATCCTGTGGTGCTATGCTACAAAGCATAAAGCAGTGCACTGTAGTTTGGCTGAAAGGGCACTTCCAACCCAAAGTCCTGTTACCAGGTGCTGACAGTCATTCACCACCCCCAGAGGAGGAGTGTGAACTCATTGGTCACACATCTTCACACTGGGGAAAAGATCAAGGAAATGAATAGTTGCTACAGTGAAAGAAGAATTTGGATATTTCTCTGAATAAAGGCAATTTTACTGCTCTAGAAGACCTAATAAAGTAAGGGGAAAGCCAGTGATTATATTATATGGTTATGATCACTTAAGATTTGAGCGTGACTCATGCAATATGCCCAAAGCAAACTTTGGCCTCCACTCATTCACTGGGGATTTAACATTTTCTTCAATACAGTCAGGACACCGGGTCTGTAGCCAGAAATGTTACGGTAAAGGGGCATAACTGTACCCTGAAGAAAGGTAGCAGGGTTTCCTGGGTTCAGGTTGGCAGGTCCTCATCATCTCAAACTCTGAAGCTCATCAGATGGGGCCCAGTGATATCATGGACAGGAACCAGTGATGCTATGGGGTGGGACCTGGCAATGTCAGATGGAACAGCAGTTTTAATGGTAGTAGTTCCACAACTGCTGCTTATTGTACCGCATGGTATCTATGAATGTACAAAGTTATAATCACACAGTGAAAAGATGAGCTGTTTATCAGGCTAATTTTTTTTAAAATGAACACTATGTGCTAAATGTAAAATGCAACTGAGCTGTTAGTGCCAGATCGCTGGCTCCCATCTCCAATTTATATCTGGAGTAATAACCACAAGCAGACATGCAGAGAAATCTTAAAAGGAAACATTTTGTTGGCTAACTGGCAGCTCTGAGATTCCAGCATGTTGTGTGGTTCATGAGCCCCAAAAGTTTAGATCTTAAGTCACCATGAGGTGCTGAAAATGAGCACCCAAATTTGAGTCATGGTACCTAAGCCTGAATCCTAGCAACCATGGGGGGGCTATCATATGACAACTTGAAACAACAAGTTTCCCATATTTTATCTATGTACTTCTCATAAGATATTGTCACTGGGCCAGGGGGGTTAAGACTCAAAACAGTGTTAGGGAAAACCATGGGCCAGGGGAGTTGGAAACTAGTCAGTGCTTAAATGAGTAAAATGAAAGATTCCAGAGTTACATCTGCCTGCAAGTAACCCCCTGCAGCAGAATTACATGTTAGTATATGTGTGTGTGTACAGCACGATGAGGGGGAAACACTCTCCACATGTGTAGAGTGTTTGCAATCACAGCAAGATTATTCCTGATTTCAGTTTATTTAGTTCCTTGTCTTTCTGCGTTGAGAAGTTGTTTGGGTATTATATCACTTCAACCTTCTGGCCTTCTGAAGTGCCAGATAATCTCTGTAGTGAAAGGTTCTGTAGTGAAAGGTTCCTGAGCATTATCCCTCATCTATTTAGCCCTAGTCCCAGATTATGGAAGAGATGAGATGAGTTTGACAGCAACGTAAAAGACATTCAGCACAAACTCAGAGGCCCCCATTCTTTCACACAGGTGAACTCCAGCAAGCTAAGTGAAACTCAGCATTCATTTTTCTGTTCCTGTTGCCCCTCCCACAGCCCCACCTACTCCTGAGGCAAATTCCCTACTGCAAACAGAGGCTGCAACCCTCAAATAGTATAATTTCAGTTTTCTTTCCAGTAGTCCCACCTGTCATTGTGGATACTAGAGGACAGAAACAAACATGAAATAAGCAAAGGGCCCAGGGAGAAAAGTTATGGGACAAAGGAGACAAGAATGAATTTGGTCAGGAAGGGAATAACTGACACAGTTTCCATTATCTTACAGCTTCCCTTCTCCCATTCTTTCCTAGGCAATTTCAACACAAACTGCTTGCACGTTTCTCTTTATATCCTCACAACGGAAAAGGCCAGAGAGTTGCTTTTTAAAAAAGAAAGAAAAAAAGAAAGCTGTGAACTCAGAGAGGGGGCATTCCCCGCCCCCCCATGCCTCTGGTAGCTAAGGGCCTGCAGAACATTTACTACCACTTTACCCAAAGATTTCTCATTTGTAAAACTGTCTCAGTTGCATGTATCTCAACAGTTACAGGCAATTTCTTTGGCAACTTCTGAGTTAATTGACAATATGCTTTGATATTATTGTTTAAGGAAATGTTAAGCATTTATATTACCAACTGCTAATGGGCCTTCAGCAGAACTTCAGCAAAACCTGTAACTGCGGCAATACCATTTGGTCCAGGTTACATTTTAAATGATGTTCATGCTCTATGTTTGTAGTTTTTCTTAACTTGCCCTGAGTTTTGGGCCAAAAGAGTATCTTCATTCTTAAAGCTTAGCTACTGAAAAATAAGCAGAAAGCCCAATCGACTGCAATTTCTACAGCATTCTTGCATTGTGCTGAAACAACGAGAGGGACAGAGTGATCTGCTGGAGAAGAAAGATGCCGAAGACTCTCATCCAGCCACAAATAATTCTGGCACCTCTCTCCAGCTAGAAGTCCCACCCTATGCCAGCTGCACAGGCAGAATTTCTGTGCCCTTGAAAATGTTCACACTACTGGTAGCAAGAGGGCCAGGGAAACAGCATTAGGAAATTGGCTAAGCTGTCAGGCCCTGGTCCAGGTCCAGTGGCATATTTCCCCCAAACAGTTCTTTCTAACTTTAGACTCTGTCACATGTCACCCTTAAGCCCTCGGCCACCTACCTAAATGCTTCCAATGCTTTCAAATAAATTATACTCTGTCTTCTCCGTTATCATACAGGCCAGGGAGTTAAGTCTCAGGGGATCCTCCTCTGTACCCAGATTATCACATCTGTTTGTAAGGATTCAAGGGGGTCTAGTTATTCCAGAAGAGCTGGCACAATTGGCCCAAATAATTTGGAAGCAATAAAGGAAAACCTGGTTGAATCCCTTGGCTAATGGCAAATTTTTCACTGTTAACAGTGATTCATTCCATAATTTTGCAGTTCCTGACACATAGTGTCTAATTTCTTAGCTGAAGAAAGGGAGACGGCCCTAATATATCAAAGTGTTCAGGTGTAACAACTGTACTGGAATAAATTATTGCACTGAACATGATGTCGTTTCACACCACAAGATTGTACTAACCCCCCTCTTCTTTTCTTTTCTTTTTTGTCCTGTGGTATTAGGAGGAAAGATAGACCAGCTGGCATGTACCCTGCCTAAGGAGCTGCGGGGGAAGGATATGCGCATGGTGCCCATGGAGATGTTTAACTACTGTTCCCAGCTGGAGGATGAGAACAGCTCTACAGTTCTGGACAATGTTGGCCCTCCTTGCAGTAAGGGAAGCACAACTGCCACCAAGCCTAAAACAAGCCTGGAAGCAGACGAGGAGCCCACTGTGGGTTGCCCCCAGAAACAAAGATACAGGCCCGTCAGTGTGCGCAGGGCAATTGGCACCGTCATCATAGCTGGGGTGGTCTGCGGCATTGTGTGTATCATGATGGTGGTGGCAGCCGCGTATGGCTGTATCTATGCATCTCTCATGGCTAAGTACCACCGGGAACTGAAGAAGAGGCAGCCACTGATGGGAGACACGGAAGGTGAGCACGAGGAACAAAAGCAGATCTCGTCAGTGGCATGAATCCCTTTTTGGAAACCAGTGACAGAAGGAAACCAGGACGCAGGAGAGTCTTGAGCCCTCACATACCTTCTCAGACGTACAAATGTACTGTGCAGCTGTTTCATTCACCAAATTAGTCAAACATGCTTCTGAATTCAGGCCAGCCACCTCCCACTTCAGGTCCTCTCCTTCCCTCTGCCCTCATGTACTTCCAAGCAAATAAACTGTAGTCAGACCTCAAGTGCTAATCATTTTTCCTCTTTCCATAAAATTCTACACTGATGCTCACATGTAGGGAACCCAAGCCAACCAGGCATCTTCCCCCCTTTCCTTCACTACATTGATACTTCGCACATGCCCATAGTATCAGAGAAACATTTTGCAAACAGTACGAATAGCCAAAGGCACCAAGACAACCCCTGTGATTGTGTCTAAACTCCACTGGTGGGGTTAATAACATCACTGCACAATCATCTACTCTTCCCTGTCATCTGTACAAGAAACCCACTTCACAACTACTCCAGGAATGATTCAAGGCCAGCTCCGATTACACTAGAGGCACAGAAAACTTGACCTTCCCGCTATTTATAACAGGAACAGAATAAATATTCCTTAGATTGAAGACATGTTGCATACACTCATGCCAGCATGTACCTCACCTTCCATAACGAAGGGTGTGGACAAATAAACCTAACACCGGCTGATCACCACATATATATACACACACACACAAACGTATGCCTCTACACACCTCCGTTTCTTTGCATACCATCTGTATGTTACTATTTGTAGCAAACTGAAAAATGTGCAAGCTGCCTCCTGATATGATGATTTATAATCTGTGCAAGGAAGAGCCTTAAAAGCATTTGGGAAAGAAAGGATGCAAAGGAGAGGGTGGATGGGTCACCAAAAGGGCAGTTACTTTCTGAAGGCTAACGTGCCACCTCAGAAAGGGGGAAATGTTGTTTTTTTTCCTATTAGAGAATTAATCTGAAAGGCTCTTACAGTCTTTGTGGCAAAAGTGGGTCCCCAGGAGGGATTTAAGAGAACAACAGCCTGTCTGATCTCCTTAAAAGTATTTTTGGACACGGGTGGTGGGTGGTGGTGGGGCAGAGCATGGGCATGGCTGTAACAAAGTCAGACAAACCAGAGGCCAGGATCATTATTGCAGCAATGTGGCTATATATGTGGGATTAATGCAACAGAGCATGGCTCAGATAGGGAAGACTGGGGGAAATGATACAGAGCCATGAATGAGACAGCAAAGAGCTCCATGAAAAATGGAGGGAAAAGGAGCCACAGTTCAGAAATCCAAAACTGTTGATCAGCTACTGCTACAAACACCCTTTTTATATAACCATGTTTGTACATCACTCGTGCCCATACTTGTATGCTGAGCAACTAGCCAAGGTTCCTACTAAAAATAAGAGGCATAGCATTAAAGTCTTAGGTAGCATCCATGCACATGATAACTCCAACACAGATACACATGTGTGTGCATCCTTCTCTCCCCCCCCCCCCAATATGAATTGTTGCCCAAACAATCTTTCCCCAATCTGGTTTTTAAACCGTACAGCACCTCACAGCAGCAGCATTTTTTTTAACTGAAGGGAGGAGGAGAACCAACATAAGGACTCATTTTATATCAAGGAAAGTGGGATAAAGTGCCGTCTCCAGGGGAGAGCACATATTGCCATGGTAACCTGCTCTAGCCCGTCACAGCGGGTATTCCTAGGATAGGAAGATGACACAAGAGGTCGTGCAGCCGCAGTTTTTGTGGATACTGTGATCCTTGCAGTCATGAAACAACTTGGCAGCTGGCCCAGATTCTTCGGTACTTTGCCAGCGACTCAGGAGCAGAACCCAGCAATCACCTTAGCTGGGCACGGATCAGGTCATCAGAGTTCTTCCTTCTTCTGTTGTATTTTGGTGCCTCTCAGTTGATCTTTTCTTTAGCTGCCGAAATTCTGAATGGAAACAATGCTCGTTTTCCTTTAATTCCACCACACCTTCAAATCCCTTGTCACAGAAAAGGAGCACTGTGAAGGACTCAAGATTACATCTCGTAGCAGCAATTCCATCGTCCTTTGTTCTCCTAGCAAAGAACTATCACGTCCAAAGGGATGGAATACTCTTCATAGACAGATGCTGTGGCAGAAACAAATTCCCATGGAGCACTAGGGAGGCCACTGGGGAAAAGGCATCTGGGAGACATTTCAAGACAGTTGAATGCATTACATGCACAAACACAGCTACCAAGGCAAGGGACAAATTCCAAAAACGGAGGACAGACTATGTACCAGATATGTCTTGTAGTTCCTCCAATTCAGCCAACTCTACTCCAGCTTGATCCCAGACTGATGGGCAAAACTGGATTACCAAAAACTCTGGCGAGTATGTGTGTGTTGCTTCCTACTACTACGTATACTCAGCAAACCACCACTAGCACTCTGCCAACTGGATATAAAATTCCAACCTTACTATCTCTATAATCTTCCCAAAGGAACTTACCTCCGTAAGATATTGGACAGCACAATCATACTTGAAATGGGACTTATGTCAGAGCTGTATATTTATAGATCTCTATTTTACTTGCAAGAAATAATGAAATGATTGCACAAAGTCAATGGTGTATGATGTGTGTTTAGGGGATGAGAAGAACTGGGAAGTAAAAATTAGAAGAAGAAAAAAATCCTCCCCCCCTTCCCATCTCCTAATCCCACCCCGAGTAGGTTTCCTTCTCTTGCCAATGATATTTTCCATTTCCCATGGTGTTGTGAGTTTAATTACAGCCTCAAACTTCATTCTGTTTTTTCATTGACATGGCACAGGATTGGCCCTGATACTTCCACACCTAAAATTCTACTCTGAAAATAGGAAATAAGTGAAGGGAGAGGGAAGTCGGTTGAGAAAAAAGGGACCGTGGTAATCATGACAGTTGGAGACTGGTTAGTCCCAAAGAAACTGGAGTAGTTTGGGAGTACAGTGGGCTAAAGAGAGTAAGAAGCTGCTGAGTGACTGGAGAATGCAATAAACCAATATGGAAAATGTCCTCTGTCTTACTGAGAAACTGTGTCTTCAGCTGCGATGAGGTGATAAGCATTTTTAACAAGGATCCTGGAACTTCTAGGGCTCCCCAAGTGTATAAAACATCAAAGATGAGGGAGGGGGAAATCTTGCATTTCATCATCTTTCAGGCATGTAAAGCAGACCAAGCTCTATATGTCGATAAAACGGGGATTTAGACCATCCTGCTGACAGTAGCAGATGTTGTAGCTGTGGATTTCAGGAGATCGAAAGAAAAGTCTGGATTTACTGAATTCATATTAGTTATTCTATTTGAAAAGAGGTTCATCAGTAAAAACATTTGAGAATTAATGTTCAAGTGAAACTGGGCAAATATATAACTTACCAACAGTGCTTTTCAGCAGAATCAATATACTTCGGCACGATAGAAATCAGCTTGCATTGCTGTGCTGAGTATTCCATGTACAAGATCAAAATACTACCAGAGATGCATGGCTGTGTAAACAGAGGTTATTCAGGAGTTTGATGATATGCTACCCATGCTAGAATTTTTCAGTGCAAGTCCATGGAGTGTTTTCAACAAAGGCACAAGGAATATACAGTTCTCATTAATGTGGCTAACTGCAGCGTCCTAAGAAGAATTAGACTCTTCTATGCCTATTGACTTCAATGGAATTAGAAGGGTGCAGCTCTGTTTAGGATTGCACTGGATTACACTTGTGAACCTGGTTGTTGTGCCGTATAATACGGAGCACAGTCCTTAAGTATGGAGATTCCTAACTGTTTAACTATCTAATGGCTTAATTTCAATAACCTCCCCAAAGCTTGTTTCTCTGTAAAAGCAGATGAGATCTTGAAAACATATGCATGAGAACCATCACTAAAAGCAAAACAGCCCGGTTCTCCTCGTAGGCTTGATCTATCCTAATCAAAAAGACCGGAAGATGATTAGAAGCATGAAAATGCTGCAATGTGAATATTCATAATACATGTGCTTGTGACATCACTGCACAAAATGTACATGCATGGAATTTAAATAGAAATGTCTACATCAACTGTTAAAAAATCCCTTATTGTGCTCCAGGCAATCGACTTTTTCCGGCTATCAGACACAGCCAGCTAGGAGAGGCTCCCCTAATGAAAAATAGTTCTCTGATACTGGTGGGAAGCCATAATGAATGACAATCTAATTCCATCAATAAAAGTGTATGCAGACAAGAGATATGCACTCTTAGCCCAATAGGTTAAAGCTGCAACCAAGGAAAATGTACTGGGTTCAGTCAGGGCGACCCAGGAAAACAGAGGTAGGCACAGTTGGTGGGAGGGGAGGACAGATGGCGCGTGCAATCTTTTTGTTTTCTTTCTGTTAGGTATATTAGAGTTTAAAGGAGAGCAATGAGATTTTTTTAAAAAACAGGTGAAGGTATATTATATTTCTGGCTTGTTGTTTTAGAAGAATAATAAAGAATGTATTTTCCTAAACACCTCATATTTGAAATGTGATTTGTGAAAACTACCCATGCCTACTTCTCTACAAATCTCCTACAAAGAAGCCAAGAGCACAATTTATTTATTTATTTATAATTTCGATTTATGAATCACTCTATCCCTAACTGCTCAGGGCTCTGAGCGATGAACAATAATGATAAAATACATCAAGATAAAAACAGTTCCCAGCAGTTAAACAAATGTAGAGTCCAGTGACACCTTTAAGACCAACAAAGGTTTATTCAAGGTATGAGCTTTCGTGTGCATGCACACTTTTTCAAATACAATGGAATGGGAGGAACTAATAGATGGACTGAACAGCAAAGAAGAAGAAGAAGAAGAAGAAGAAGAAGAAGAAGAAGAAGAAGAAGAAGAAGAAGAAGAAGAAGAAGAAGAAGAAGAAGAAGAAGAAGAAGAAGAAGAAGAGGAAGAAGAGGAAGAAGAGGAAGAAGAGGAAGAGGAGAAGGAGGAGGAGATTGGATTTATACCCTGCCCTTCACTAACCAAAGGTGTCTCAGAAATTAACATGTAACATGATGAAGATGTTTTAAGATGTGCGAAAACAGAATTAAATAACAAGCTAAGGTTATAAGGTAAAGCAATAAATATGACAAAATAAGTTTGAGACTCTCCATTCACTCCCAGAGCATGGAGGTCACGGAACAGCATTTTTACTTTCTTTTTCGAGGTGGGAGCAGTGTATGTCAGCCAAACATTCCAATATTCCTTGCATTACATTCAGTATTCTAATATACTATTCTGAAAAGGAAATACACTAAAATACAGAGGATGTATAGTCCCTTATAACCTTAGCTTGTTATTTAATTCTGTTCTCGCAGATCTTAAAACATCTTCATCATGTTACATGTTAATTTGCTGTTACGCAGATCTTAAAACATTTGAAAAAGTGTGCATGCATACGAAAGCTCATACCTTCAATAAACCTTTGTTAGTCTTAAAGGTGCCACTGGACTCGAAATTTGTTCTACTGCTTCAGACCAACACGACTGACTACCTGGATCTATCAGCAGTTAAACAGTTTAAATTAAAAAATTCATAGATGGAGTTGTCGGATTCTAGACTACATTACTGCTTCTGAAAAGGAGTAAGGGAAATATAGCTGGAAAGGGGAGGGAAAGGGAGGGAAAGGAAGTGCCAGCCAAGATGGTACCTGTTGCTGTCCTCAACCAAAGGCCTGGCGGAATATCTCTGCCTTACAAGCCCTGCTGAATTGCATCAGGTCCCGCAGGGCATGGATGTTATTTGGCAGAGAGTTCCACTAGGCAGGGGCCAGGGCTGAAAAGGCCTCGGGCTTGGTCAAGGACAGCCAGATGTCTTTTGGGCTGAGGATCACCAGTAACTTGTTCTCAGCGGAGCATAATGCTCTTCGGGGGACA